TGACGCCAAGCCGGCCGGCCGGGCGCCGCCGCCGCTGCCGACGGGAACTTCCGCGCCGGTAGGGCAGCGGGCTTCCCCGGAACTTTTCCCGTCCGGCCCCGCCCCGTCAGCTGCCAGGCCCCGCCCACTGCCTGCTCGGCCCCACCCCCAAGAGGCAGGCCCCGCCCCACAGGAAGAAGCGGTCCCGTCCACAGCCTCCCCCCACCCCAATGTCCGGGGAGAGCCCGCCTTGCGCCTTTCTCTGGCCCCGCCCCGCCCTGCCCTATTCCCGGCCACATCCACATTTCCCGCAGAGCGTTTTCCGAGTCCGCTAAACCCACAGCACCAGGCCCTGCCCCGCGGAGTGCTAGGCCCTGCCCCCAATGGCTGCGCCCCAAGTTTCGCGAACAGCCCAGCCACGCCCCCAAATCAGGCCCCGCCCCACAGCCCTCTTCCCACCCCGCTGCCCCGCCTCTAATGAAAGCCTGGCCCCGCTTCTGTAACATGCCCTCTAGCACTTCTCCCTCCAATGGTAACTCTTGTCCCCCGCGGTCCTCCTCTGAGTGGACAGCCCTAACCCAGCCCATACTTTGGCTTCGCCTCGCCCCGCCCCCCACATCCCCTCCTCGCTCCCCCTGTGCTGGAGCCCGGCCATCTGGCCTCCTTTGTGGAGCGAGGACCCCACTCTCCTGTATCCCAGAAGGTGCCGGGCCTCTGACCGCCCAGGATAGTGAGAGGTTCTTGTCCACACCCTGGCGGGGTTATGGGGCTCAGGGGCCTCTGATGTCCCAACTGACAGGTGGAATGTGGGGGAGCGGGGGGAGAAGGGGTCCCCCAATGTGGGAAATTGGCAAGAGCAGCCTTCCCAGGGGCTGATGTCATGACCATTCCTGCTGGCCCTGGCCCACGCTGGCTGGGATTAGGTGGGTGGGACACTGGGTCCTAGGGATGCAGTGTTACCCTGGCTTGTGAGAGGGCTCCTGACCCCTGTGGAAGCCCCTCTGAGGTCCTGGCTGCAGCGTACAGGTTCGCAGGCATATCCTGGAGGGCCAGGCCTCCTGGAACAAGGCTTTTCTGTCCCCCCAGCTCTGAAATTCCTGACCAGCCACGATTGCTTCCCAGCCCATTGGTACCCCCCACCCCCCACCCCC